TTGTTAGTGGGATTGTAAAATGGTACAACCACCTTGGAAGGCAGTTTGGCACTTCCTCGAAAAGCTGAACATAGAAATTGCACTGCTTGGAATATACCCTGAGAAAGTGAGAACTAAGGCATATACAGAGACTTGTTTATGTTTACAGTATTATTCACCATCACAAGAACATGGAAACAGCCCAGATGTCTAAACATAATCGAATGCATTAAAAATTATGGTATATTCACACAATGGAATACTATGTAGCATGCAGGAGCAATGATTTTGTAAATTATTACCTAACTTGGGAAGGATTGGAGAGCATTATGCTGAGTGAACAAACTCAGACCCATAAGGACATATACTTTATAAAACCATTGTTGTAGAATGAGTATGAAGATCCAAGGGAACAGGGAAGGGTGGAAACAGAGGGGTGAGGATGTGTGTGTGTGGGGTGGTGATATTAATTATGGAGTTGCACAATTTGATGGGTGGGGGAAGGTGAGGGAAATGGGAAGGATCTGGTGTTAAAAACAATGTATTTGAATTTTGTAAATAAACTAGTATAAAAATAGTATAAAATAGAATATGAATAATTGTATGAAACACAATATAAATGAAAGATTGTATGAAACAATGTATATGAATGAAACATACTGTAAAGGTATTATTATATGAAAATTAAGAAAAAAAGATTAAAAAAAAACAACCCAAGACTTTTGTATTAGATTTACCCTCTGCAAGGCATTATTTTATATCTTGACTGCTGCTTCCACAGGTGTTGATTGTACAGTCAAGTAAAAGGAAATCATAATGAGATTCTGACATCTATGAACAAATTGAGGATATCAACAAGAGATTCCTGGAAAAGGTTTGGTTTTTTTTAACTATAAAAGAGACTTTTCAGGTCCAACTTCTCATTCTGGTCCCTTTCCATCTTTTTCCTCCTGAACTACAAAGGCTTCATTTAGCATAGTTTTGTTCTGATGAGGCTCTCCTATATGTCCACCATCTGGGAGATAGGCAGTAGGAACAGATGGTATATTTTAGATTTCCAAAGAACCTTTGTTATGTTGATGACACAACCTTTCTTGCTGAAAATGAGTAGGACTTGAAAAGCTTGCTGCAGAAGATCAAAGATTATAGCCTTCAATATGGACTGTATCTCAATGTCAAGAAAATAAGAATTCTTACCATTGGACCCAAGCATTGAGAACCTCCTTCACAGGGTTGCTATGAGTTTCCTGAAACTCTATGGCACTTAGCAACAACAACAACAACTGTTGGACCTATAGTCTACATCATGAAAAATGGAGAAAAGATTGAAATTGTCAATGACTTCATATTCAATACACAATCAATACACTTGATACCAACACTCAGGAGATCAGGAGATGGATTGCACTGGGAAAGTCTGAAAACTATTGAGGAGCAATGCTGTTAGTTTGAGGACTAAGATACAACTGATTCAGGCCATGATCTTTGCAATCACTTGTTATGTTGTTGGGAGTTAGATAATGAATAACAATAACACAAGAAGAATTGGTGCCTTTGAACTGTGGTGTTGGAGAAGAGTACTGAACATCTCATGGACTGCCAAAATGGGTAGGTCTTGGAGAAGATACAGCCAGAGTGCTCCTTGGAGGTAAAGACGATAAAACTTCATCTCACATATTTTAAGCCTGTTGTTAGAAGAGCCTGTTCCTTGGAAAGAGACATCATGCTTATGAAGGTGGAGGGATGACAAAAGAAAGACCTTCAAGCAGGTGGATTGACATAGTGATTGCAGCAATGGGCTTAAGAATATTGGAGATTGTGAAAATGGTGCAGGATAGGACAGGATTCAGATCTCCTGTTCACAGTGTCATTATAAGTTAGTTGTACCTGAATTGACGTCACCTAACAATGACATTTACAGTGACTGCAGCAATGGGCTTAGGTGTGTTGGAAGTGAAGAGGGTCATGCAGGATAGGACAGGGTTCTGATCTATTAAGGAAGCGCTATGAATGGTACTTGACTCAACATCTAACAACAAGAAGTGCGTGAGTAACATTTTATAGTTTACAAAAAGCTACACAGAAACCATCCTAATAGATCTTTCTAGCATCGTATGAAATTGTAAAACTGGTTGGGCATTGTCAGACCTCTTTATTTAATTTCACATGGAGGAGATGAGAGAATCACCATCATCAGCATAGGCCCAGTGCTGCTTGCTTTAAGACTGAGGCCAAATTTATCTCTACGCTCAAACCTTTTTATCAATTCTGACACCAGTAATCCCTCAAGTTATTCTCTACTTCTCTGAAGGGCTTGATTAGTCATTACAGTGCTTACAGAGAACTTGTAACCATACTCATGGTTATGGGGTTTATTAGCAAAGTGACTGATTACTGTTCAGGATCAGGAAGGATTCAGGATTCAGGTCTTTCAGACAAGTCAGTCTCTTTTGTTTGGAGATTGAGGAAGCAGCTGAATACTCTGAGATGGGTGCTTCTGAGATGGGCGCTTTCACCTTTGTGAGAGCAAAAGGGAGTGTTTGATTGTGAAGGAGTGTGGAATGAAGGACTTCATGGAGTGCCTTGGTTTTTAAATTCATTTGGGCCCTCAGGCCTGTTGTTGTTAGGTGCCATCGAGTTGTAGATGACTCATAGCAAACCTATGAATGAAAGGCCTGAGCACGGTTCATAGAGTTTCCAGAGGTAAGCCATTTCAGAAGTGGATACCACTCCTGCTTCCAAGCTTGTTTTAATCGGGAAGTTCAAGCAAACACTGTCCACCATGGGTAACCATTATCACATTTGGCACATCAGTGTCATAGTGTTCAGCATCACAGCAACCATGAGTTACCTCTGTACAGCAATGCACAGACCAGTGCTATACCACTCAGAAGAATGTTTGACAAAAAACAATTTAAACCAGGCCTGAGTGTCGCAGGTTAAAATCACCCACCTTGGGCTTGGTAGCATAACTTTCTGTCCACTCAGCCAGTGTAGCTCTCTCTATGTTGTGGTTGTTATTGTTGTTAGGTGCTGTCGAGTCTTGTTGTGGAGGAACATAACTTCTAAATCATACAGTACTCTTCTGTCAGTTTGCCATACTGAGGTAATCTGGGTTTGCTGTGATGATGAGCCTTGTGCCTTTTGGGTGTCAAATGCCATAAGCATTGCTTATGTTGGACTGTGTTTGGTGGAGCTCTCAGTTTAAGACAGGTTTGGAAGAAAGAGTGGCATCTTTCCTAAACCACATGCCTCTAGAAACTCTATGAAGTTGGGGAAACGATGATAGTTATGAAAAGACTGCAGGTCTTTTGCTCATAGAGTTGCTATGAGTTGTCATTGACTTGATGGCAATCAACAACAACAACAACAGCAACAACAAGAAGTCTCTTTAGATTTGTGCTAAAAGGCTTCCCACTCTTTTACCTTTCGGCCCTGCCTCTGCCATGCTCAGGAAAGAAGTAAAACTTTGTAGCTCTACCACTGTTGTTGTTAGAGGCAGTCTAGTCAAGTATGACTTGTGGCATCCTTAAAACAATAGACCTGAATTCTGCCCTGTCCTGTGCCCTCCTCTTCATCTGTGACACACTTGAGCCCATTGCTAAAATCCATCTTATTGGGGATCCTAGAGGCAACCCTGTTCCTCCACTGAGTCTGCACCCAAACGTCTCAGCTTTTGCTTTGTAGGTTGTCACACCCACTGCCTCCATTTGTGGGTTGAGAAATCCACATTACTACTTCATACTAACCAGAGTGCTTCTTGGAGGCAAGGATTCTGAATCTTCATCTGACATACTTTGGGCATGTTGCATGGAGGAACCAGTCCTTGGAGAGGTATGTCATGCTTGGAAGGGTGGAGGGACAGCGCAAGAGAGGAAGACCCTCAATGAGATGGGTTGATTCAGTGAGTGGGGTAATGGGAGTGGGTGTGTCGGAGATAGTGAGGTTGGCACAGGATAGAGCAGCATTTAGGACTCTTGTACATGAGTCACAAGCACATAACAACAACATTTTATTTTGTCATCCTCATAATTTTTTACATAGGTAAACCCAAAGCACAGTCATCGTGCAATCCATCTGGTTGGTGACTAGGATTCAGGGAAGTATTTGTAAGATCTGACTTATTGTATAGTCTGATTATGTAAACTAATATTGGATGTGACTACCTATTCTAATGCACAAAACATACCTTCATGAAGCAAGATTCCCCTTCTCTCAATTGGTGAGTGTCCTTTGTGTGACCAATACCACAGCTCCCTGCTCCTTCAGTCACTCACATATCCCTTCCCAATCTTGTGCTGTTGTTGAGTACCATTGAATTGGAACCGACCCATAGCTGACCCACTAGTAAGTTTTCAGAGGCTGTTAACCTCATAGGAGGAGATTGTTGTATTGTTAGGTGCCATCAAATTGACTAAGACTTATAGCAACCCTATCAATAACAGATCAAAACTCTACCTTTTCCTGCACCATCCTCCCAATCTCCAATCTTAGATACCCTGAAAGGGTAAAAAGTCAGAGGGAGGGGCATGTGATCTGGGCTAGTTAGGGTTTGGAAAGGTGGTGCTAAACCAGCTGGGCTAAATTTGCATAATTTGGCTGCCTCTATAAAGGGCACAGCACTTCACGCTAATAGCCTCTGTAGAAGAAGTTTTAAGTTCACTAATGGGGGGAATGTTCAGCTCTGGTATTTGTAACAGAGAAGAAGAGAATTTCCCTTTTTGGTAAAGAAGAGGTTTCTGAGTGTAAGAAAAGGTCTGTGTATGGAAGAAGCCCTGATACCAGTTCAGGTATGGTTTTAGTCTCAGAGATTTGGAGTTTCATGGAAAGAAATCCATGGGTCATGAGGTGTTTGTACATCTAGATTAAGAGTGAAGGCTTCTGGAAGTTTCTAGAAAGTCTAGAATGGTATTTCTTTCTATTTGGGATTTCTTGATTCAGAAAACTCAAGGACTGAAGGGGAGAGGAAGAAAATGGAAGATCTAACTGATGACTGTGCATTTTGTTTCCCTTAGAGGACAATGGCCAGACTCTGCTTTCTGTTGTTCCTAACGGTGACCATTAGAAGATGCAGTGCAGGTAAACAGCACTTTTTGTTTGCTGTTGAGTCAGAACTGACTCACAGTTTACTCTCCAGTGGGTTTTTAGTGGCAGCAAATCACACAGGAGGAGATTGTACATCCTACCACACAGTAGCTGGTGGATTCAAACTGCACACCTTTGGGTTTTCAGTGTAGCTTGTTACCATTAGGCTACTAGAGATCCACAAATATCTTTTTGGAGTATCAATTCCTTTAGCTCTCTCTGTAGTTCAATGGAGTGGAGGAAATAAAACTGGTTTGTGTCGTTATATACAATGGATCAGCGGCAAAGTCACTGCGATGCATTCATAACACTTGATAGCAGACATAAGGTGCTGCTTTTTGGTCTCACTCGGGGTTCAGGCTGAGGTGTGGACTGAGGCATGTCTTGGATCTCATGCTCTGTGCTTCTGTGTGTCTTTGAAAAGGTTAAAGGGTGCACAATATAGATTGTGTTACTTCCCAGTCACTCCAACTCCTCTGACCTTGGCCTCATGTTATTTAGAGGGAGCTAGATGGTCAGTGATAGCTTGGCTCCACAGTCAACACTCTCAGCACCAGCAGCCAGGAAATTAGAAGACGTATTGCCATGGGAAAGTCTGCTGTTAGGGACCTCTCCAAAGTACTGAAGAGCAATGGTGTCTCTCTGGAGACTAAGGTGTGTCTGATATAGGCCATGGTCTTCGCAATCACTTGTTATGCATCAGAGAGTTGGACAATGACCAAGGAGGATAGAAGGAGAATTGATGCCTTTGAGCTGTGGTGCTGGAGAAGAGTATTGAGGGTACCCTGGACTGCTAGGAAAACAAACAGATTCATCCTGGAAAGGGTCAAACTGGGCTGATCCTTGGAGGCAAGGATTCTAAGGCTTTGTCTAACATACTTTGGACATGTTGTGAGGAGAGACTGGTCCTTGGAGAGGGACATCATGCTTAGTAGGGAGGAGGGACAGTGCAGGAGGGGAAGGCCCCCTATAAGGTGGATTGATTCAGTGACTGGGGTAATCGGGATGGGTGTATTGGACGTGGTGCGATTGGCACAGGACAGAGTAGAGTTCAGGGATGTTGTACATAGGGTCGCTATGAGTTGCAAGCGACTTGATGGCACATAACAACAACAGCAGATGGTCAGTGATGTGTCCAGGGAACATCCTCCACTAGTCTTCAACCTCACAATAGACATAAATACATCAGTTTTCATTGTTGTTTTATTACTTATTTTAGTTAGTTAAAACATATTCACAAATATCTTCTTATCCTCTAGGTTTTCAAACTGAAAAAAATCATTGCTATCAAATCGGAACTGACTCATAATTGACACTCACGTGGGTGTTTGGATGCTATAAATTGTATAATGGGAGCTTGCTCATTTTTCTCCTGCAAAACCACTGGTGGATTCAAGCCACTAGAGAGGTGCCACCTTTGGGTTAGGGCGCAATTCCTCATGGACCACACCATCAGAGCTCCCCAGATGTTAGAGGAGTTTACCAGTGCACTATTAGAGAAGAAGAAAGGAGATGACCAGAGATGTTAAATGTCTGCCCAAAAGAGCTCTGATATGAATTATCTGGGATTTTATCTGAGTCTTTGAAATCAAAGTTTGGTATTCTCTTCCTCCCCCGACTCTGAATCACCCAGGCTTTCAGAATAACCTCGAAGCTTTTAGACTATTACAAAAGACCTTTCATCCTCTATAATAAAACCCCAAACTCACTGCTGTAGGTTCAGTTTGGATTCATACACACCTTCTATTTGGTTTTTTGGGCTGCAAATCTTTTCAGAAGGAGATTTTCCATTTTCCTTACTCCCATCACCCACTCCCATAGAACAGCCAGTAGAGCTGGACTGCTGAACTTTCCAATAGCAGCAAAAAAAGTAACGCCTTAGCCTTAGTTAATTTCGCACCTTTGGCTCTCATCAAGTTGTGCATTATAATATTTGCTCTGGCCACAGAAAATGATGAGTTGTAGTTTTTCTGAATTCTAGACCAAGTTCTAGTATCTCTTCATGACTTTTTATGTGCTACCACCTTTTACTCTTCTTTCTGGAGCACTGGTTCCCTTTTGTTTCTGTTCTACTCTTATTCATCCATTAGACTCAGTCTTCTCTGAGTTACATTTGCTCCCTTCCCTAAGGGGAGCTGTGGAGGCCTAGTGTAAAGAGTGTACTGCCAAAGACTTGAGGTTTGAATTCCCCAGCTGCTCCACAGAGAAAAGTGGGCAATCTCCTCCTGTGTGATTTACTCCCTGGAAAATCCATGGAAGTTCAGCTATGAGGTGGTTTTGATTTGATGATACATGAAAACAACCATGATGTTTCCCTAAAATGTCCCTGTCTCACATATCTCAGTTGGGTGTGTTTTGTTTGGGTACTTGCATGTAGAAAGGATTTCTTAAATAAATGGGTTAAACTGTCTCTGAGTGACCAGTGTTTTGAGGTGTGTATTGTAGACATTGAACTAAATTAATTGAGAGGAAAGGTTCAGCTTTTGAACAACCAGTAGTAGATTTTGTTTCAGACAGTTTTGGCAGAAAGAATTCATCCCGGATGTGGAGGAGGTCTGAATCACAAGCAAGAGGAAGAGCTGCAATGGGCAGGACCTGGAAGGTGGTGAAGAATGACTTTTTCAGTAGTTCCAGATCATTAATGAGAGATTTTATATCCTCTAACAGGGACCAATCCTCTTAACATTTTAGAGGAGAACACCTACTGTGGTGGTTTTTCCTTCCGTTCCATGCCTACAAGCTGCAAGGAAATAAAAGAAAGTTGCCATACAGCACCAGGTGAGTACCATGAGAACCCCAGTGTTTCATCCTGGAAACCACTTTTTTTAGCTAAAGAGAACCCAGGCATGGAAACCTGGAGATATCAGTATTCTAGTACTACTGTCTATCTGACTGTGGCTGCCACACAAATTGGTTTCTAGTGGAATTTTCAAGGCTTTTATGTCTCGCCTCATTTATGTCGGAAGTTAACACATGACACAGGCAGAGTGCAGTGCTCCTGATGAAAGGGAAGTTGGTGGCAAGAACTGCGAAGGATCTGAGATTTTACTCTTCTTGTAATCCAACAATTACCCTGCCACATTTTTATGCATGTTGACAGAACATGAGACTCCTGAGTTAGAAAGAAAGAATTTTATGATTTATAGCATTGGTAGTAGTCTGAGTATTGTTATTTCTCTTCCTTGCCTTCTGAGTTCCAATACCTATAGTGTGACACAAAGAGAGCCAGATGCATCTGCACAGATAGTGGGCTTGTCAAGCAAACTGACTGACACAGTTAGTCAGGAAAGACACAATAAAGCCTTTAAAATTTAGCTTATTACTCACATAGATTAAAGTCAACATTGTATTCTTTATCCATACATATTCAATCTGTATGCTGAACAAATCATTGCAGAAGCTAGATTCTATCAAGGACAATGAGGCATTGGAATTGGAAGAAGACTCTTCAACAACGTGCATTAAATTGATAACACAACCTAGCTTGTGGAAAGTGCAGAACACTTGAAAAACTTGCTGTGGAAGATCAAAGACTACAGTCTTCAATATGGATTACATATGAACATAAAAAAATAAAAAATTCTCACCACTGAACCAATAAGCAACTTAGAGACAGAAGAAGAAAAAAAATTGAAGTTGTCAACAATTTCATTTTGCTTGTATCTGTGATCAATACCCACAATAATAACAGACAAGTAATCAAAGTATGGATACATTGGCATAATTTGCTGTTAAGGACTTCTTCAAAGTGCTAAAGGGCAAAGATGTCAGTTTAAAGAATAAGTTGCACCAGATCCAAGCCATGGTCTTTTAAACTACTTCCTACACATATAAAAAATTAGATAATGAATAAGCAAGACAGAAGAAGAACAGATATATTTAAGTTGTAGCACTGCAGAAGAGTATTGAATATCCCGTGGATGGTGAAAATTCATCTCACATACTTTTGGGCATATTGTCAGGAGGGGCTAGTGTTTGGTTAAGGAAATCATACTGGGAAAGGTGGAGGGTCAGGGAAAGAAAGGAAGATCTCCAAGAAGATGAGGTGACAAAGTGACTGTAATAACAGGCTTGAGCATATCATAGATCATGAGGATGATGTAGAACACGACAAAGTTCAGATCTGTTGTTATAGGGTTGTTATGAGTCATGGTTGACTCACTGGCACCTAACAACAACAACTCACCTAGACAGCAAAGTCAAGTTTAGAAAAGTGAGCTTCCAGAAGTCTTTATCTTCCACAGAGACACAGAAACAAAACGGCCAAATAAAAAATCCAACATAGGTGTTGGGGTGCTTTGTTGCTGCTTAGTCAATTTATGCTGAAGCCAAGCCATCTTACAGCTGTCAGTTGATCCTAAATGAGAGACCACTCTCTCTCTCCCATCATCTAGGAGGTGATGAGCTGTCTTATGACAGTCTCACTGGATGATAAGGGGGTGGTTGAGGAATAACCTTGGGTCAGCTCTTCACATGTCTCCCATGTTTGGTAGAATCAGACGTATTTTGTGAAGTCTAGGTCAACTGTCTCTAGGCCTTGTTTATGTGGCCTGTTCAACTGCACACAAGGTTATCAGAATAGTAATGGGCAGTTACCATGCTTGCCATTTGCACAGAGGTCTTCAGCTATAACCTAGAGGCTGGATATGTGGTTGGGTACAGATTTCTGCCCTCTGAGGAGACAGCTAGGTCTATCTTTTAAGGGCGTTTATATAAACATCCATATAACATATTATCCTATATACTATGGCACTTTGGTGGCTTAGTGGTAAGAAACTGTGCTGCAGTCCTGAAGGCACACAGTTCAAATCTACTAGCTTCTCTTTGAGAGAAAGATGAACAATCTCTTCCTGTGAGATTAAACTGCCTCTGAAAACCCACTGGAGGGTCAGCTATGGGTCAATTCCACCTCAATGGTACACAACAACAACAACAACATGTCAATGAAAGACAGACATAAGATGAGAAGAAGTAATTTATGTTGCAGGAAAATGATTTTCCAATAGAGGATATGTGTGGGAATGAGCATTAATTGTATATACTTACATTCCCACAGACTTTCTGATTCTGTTATCTGAGATGGGACATGCACTCTTAGAAAAGGTCGTCCTGGTGTCTCCACAGATGGCCTGTATTTCCTGAGTACTAAGAATGGTGTCATCTACCAGACCTTCTGTGACATGACCTCTGGGGGCGGTGGCTGGACCCTGGTGGCCAGTGTGCATGAGAACAACATGTTTGGGAAGTGCACAGCAGGTGATCGTTGGTCCAGTCAGCAGGGCAACAGAGCAGACTACCCAGAAGGGGACGGCAACTGGGCCAATTACAACACCTTTGGCTCTGCAGAGGGAGCCACGAGCGATGACTACAAGGTTGGTGCCACTCAATGACCACTTGGGAAATGGTGGGGAATTGAGTGTTGCTGGACCGCGGCATAGGGGGTTAGGAGATCCAAATGGGAGATGGGTATGTGAAACATGGGGTAGAGAGAAAGAAATAAATACTTAGGTGTCTTAAATGCAAATTTCTCATGGATTTAGGACACCTAAGTATTTCTTTGTTTCTGAATAGTGCTGCCACTTTGTCATTGGATCATTACGTTCCTAGTGCATCTGAGGGTTTCATGCATACTGGGTCTTTTGTGACCTCCTGTGATCTCCTGGCTGGATTAATGCCTCTTGTTCTTCAGAACCCCGGCTACTATGACATCCAGGCTGGCGACCTGGGCATCTGGCATGTGCCCAACAAGTCCCCACTGCAGCGCTGGAGAAACAGCTCCCTGTTGAGGTATCGCACCAACAATGGCTTCTTCTCCGGTATGGGAAATAACCTGTTTGGACTCTACCAGGTACACATGTGCTGAGTGGGAGGTTTTAGTCTGGTAAATAAAATGTTAAGTGTTTTGGGTGAGAGTGAATCTGCTCTCCAGGGTTTCAGGCCACTATAAAGTTTCTGTCCTGACTGCTTCCCATGCTCTGGTCCACTGTTAACTGATGTCCCAACTGTCTGAGGAACTTTGAGCCAACTCTATGGGAGAAGTGGGTGGGAAAGAGAGGAGGACAACAAAGAGAGGAGGACTGTGGAAAAAACATAGTCATGGGAAAGGGATCACTGTAGTTTCTGAATAATGACAGCTACCTTGAAGCAAGCCACCTCACCTGCATATCTAATTTGGCAACATCTCTGCTTTTCTCACATAACAAACATCTCATTTGGGTTTTTACAGAAATATCCAGTGAAATATGGAGTAGGAAGATGTTGGGCTGATAATGGCCCTGCAATTCCTGTGATCTATGACTTTGGTAATGCTCAGAAAACAGCATCTTACTACTCACCATTAAGTCAGAGTGAGTATTTGCTCCCTAAACCCAGTCATTAGTTGTTCTCTGTGTTCTTAGACTATGCCAACATCTTAGAAGCTTGACATTATTTTCCTTTCTTTAATATTTGTGAAAAACTTAGGATGTTAAAATGGTATCATCTCCATTGTTGGGAGAATGAACATTGAGAGATTAGGAATTTATGGAAGACAGTATGGTATGTAAGCAGCAGAGCCTGGATATAAACTCTGGAGCTGGCCTCAGAGCCTGCACTGTTCTTACATATACAACTTTATATAGCAGTTAAGAAGAGTTGCAGGCTAATGGTCACAGTAAAAGAAAACTAGTGAAGGTGTGAGGAAAAAATAATTTTGAATTGAAAAGATAGCTGTCTTTGAAAAGAATACTTTTTGGGCACAATAAAGTCACAGGAGTTAATACTTTGATAGAAAAATCAAAGTAATTGTTATTTAAGTTTGATATTTCAATGAAAGTATGTGGTTGTAGGGGGAAAAAGATGTAATTAGATGAGATCTGTAAACAGAAACATATGGTCATATTTAGTAATTGTTTATTCCTCTGTACTTTTGAGAGATTTTTAATGATCTTTCTTTAGGGATTAACTATTCCCTGGAATTTAACTATTCCCTGAAATTTTAGCATAACAAAGATCTTCTTTGGCCTCTGGATGTGGGGTGATGCTTACACTCAGCCATGTCCACCAGTTGCTCACCACCGATAACCTAGACTCCATCCCACAGACCTAAGTGCAGAATTACAGTCCGAGTTTTGGAATCGCTGGGCTGGTCAAAAGGAAGTTGTTTCTAGTTCTTCCTTTAAATACTCCAGTCTTTTGTCTGCCTCTTCTTTTCTAGGAGAATCTGTTGCAGGATTTGTCCAGTTCAGGGTGTTTAATAATGAGAGAGCTGCCAATGCCCTGTGTGCTGGAATAAGAGTTACTGGCTGCAACACTGAGCATGTGAGTCTTCAGGGAGACCAAGAGTCTGTGGGTGTGTGAATGAGTATGTATAAGTAGAGTATGCCTTTATTGTAAGGTTGCTGAGGAAGGACAGAATCCAGTTCAGGCCAAGAAAGACAATTTATTGAGGAGAAACTGCCAGATCAGCACCTACTCAAAGTTAGAGTGGAGTCTTATAAGGAAATTGGAGAGTTAGGATGTTTACAGCTGGTTAGTACAAAATAAGGGAGCAGGTCAGGGGTATAAGTAGTTATTCCTGGGAAAGGGAGTTGAAATAGTTTTGCAGCTCTAACAGAAATAAACAGAGTTACATCTGTTGCTTTGATTATTTTTGTGGCTGTCTTGGGGAAAGGAAGGGAAAGCAGCTCTGGGGCCTTAACATTCCAGCCTTTTGTTATATGTTTGGAGCTGCTGAGGTTCCCTTCTGTAACTACTTCCTGCTGGATGGAGTTATGATCTAAAGGAGGAAAAAGCTGTTGGTTTTAGGCAGCAGAGTTAGCAGATGTGACAATAGAGGGTAATGGTTGGCACTCAATTAATAATATGAGGAGTTCATGGACTGTGTGATTGGCAAAGGATCTCACCTGCTCCTGTAGAAAACTAGAGAGAAATTGCATAAGGCAAAGACCAAACATTAAGATTAAGAAAATTACGAGGGGAGCTCTGGTGGCCTAGTGGCAAGGAGCTGCAACTACAATCCCAGAGGTGCGTGGTTTGAATCCACCAGATGCTCTGCTGGGGAAGGAGGGACAATCTCCTGTACCAGTCAGATCTGATTTGATGGTACACTCACACAAAAAAGAATAAAATAAAAATTTAAAAAAAAGAAGAAAATTATGGTAAGAGGACTGAGGAAGGAGAGAAGCCGGGGTAGCTAACCTTTGAGAGATGAGAAAAATTTCTATTGGCTTACTATGTTTGCTGCAAGACTTGATTTTAGGAGTACTAGAGCATTGAGATTGTACACAGCTTTAGTTTGCTTGGCTCTGTAGTCAACAGTCTTGGGACCAGCAGCCAGGAAATTAAAAGGCGCATTGCAATGGGAAAGTCTGCTGTTAGGGACCTCTCCAAAGTATTGAAGAGCGATGGTGTCTCTCTGCAGACTAAGGTGTGTCTGATACAGGCTATGGTCTTTGCAATCACTTGTTATGCATCAGAGAGTTGGACAATGACCAAGGAGGATAGAAGGAGAATTGATGCCTTTGAGCTGTGGTGCTGGAGAAGAGTATTGATAATACCATTGACTGCTAGGAAAACAAACAGATTTGTCCTGGAAAGGGTTAAACCGGGTGGCTCCTTGGAGGCAAGGATTCTGAGGCTCCGTCTAACTTACTTCGGACATGTAGTGAGGAGAGACCGGTCCTTGGAGAGGGACATCATGCTTGGGAGGGTAGAGGGACGGCGCAGGAGAGGAAGGCCCGCTATGAGGTGGATTGATTCAGTGACTGGGATAATTGGGATGGGAGTGTCAGAGACGGTGCGATTGGCACAGGACAGAGCGGAGGGCTGTTGGACATAGGGTCGCTATGAGTCGCAAGTGACTCGACGGCACATAACAACAACAACAACAACAGGGCATTATGGCTTGGTTTTGATTGGGAGGATGGAGCATTTTGAATTTGGTCTTCTGTATTTTGGTGGTTAAAAAGTCTTGCACACAGACTTTAGTCCAGATGGTTTACAGTCAGTGTAAATTGAGTTGCCACAGATGAAGAATACTCCTGAGGTAAAGCATTGTGTGGAATTATTTGACAGGGAAAGGGCGTGACTGCAATAAGAGGAGGAAATATTGCCTACTGCTTTTGTGCCCTTAATTGAAAGTAGGCAGGTAACATTTGAAGTAGGGAGAACGATTATATTGTTTGCTCGTTGACCTATAAGAATTATTTTGTTGGGGTTTAAGGTGCTATTTTCTGAAGTTCAATTAGGTGGAATAAGAAATTTGCTTTTAGCTTGTTCTTCTTTTCCTCTTCTAAGTTTTTACTGTTGAACACTGAAATAACAGTTAAAAACGGGTTTGAGTTACTTTGGCGACTTAAAGCTTTTTCTTCAAGTTTTTTTCTAGTATCAGGGACAGACTGATTGATAGAATGAGAATTTTTTACTATTCTCTCAAGAGACTTAGGGTTTAAGTTAGTGAATTTTAAAAGTTGCAGGGCTCTTTAAATTTGGATTTATTTACTTATTTTAACTTGGGCTGAAAATTTAAGGTGCATGAAAAATACTCTAAGGAAAATAGAAGCAAAACAGAATTTTTAAATTTATTTTAATAAAAGCAAAAACTACATGCATATGTAGGTTATATTTTATAAACTTTTAGTTTGTTTATTGCTGCCATTCCTTACCACTCTAATGACTGCTACTTGAGAAAGGGGAGTGTGCAGAGGAGCTTGGCATATTTGTCTGTGTGTTTTGGTCTGGAGTGCTGCAGGAGGGTGTGCTGGGTTGGCATTAGAAAAGGAAGGGACGTGATATGCTATTTGGAGGTCAGGGTTGGAAAATTAAAAGAGTGATATTTTAGTTGCAGAAGATTTTAACTAGGAGATTAGTCATGAGGAGTTAAACTAAGCAGGATGAGTAGTGAGGGAGAGAGAGAAAAGCAGAGAGCGAAAAAGTTTGGCTGCAGTTTCAGGCTGGGTCTGGGAGAGGCTAGGAAAAAGGGAGAGGAGAAAGGGAGGAGAGCTTTGAGTCCAAGGTGGTGAAGAGGGCCTCATGTGATGAGGTGACATTTTCATATGGCAGAGGTGGGAGAGCAGGAGTAGTAGAGAGATCAGTGAGGATCAAAGATGATGGGAGGTGATCAAGAAAAGGAGAGCGCTTAGAAAGACTAAAAGAATTTGATAAGTATGGCAGTTTCCCCCTCACACTATTTTTTTAAATTGTGATTTTAGTGAAAGTATATGGAGAACATGGATTTCCATTCATTCATTGTTGCATATTTTCCTCCCTGCCCCCTCCCCCAGTTTGCTTTTTCTTTGGAATAAAAAAATTCTTTCGTTGTTATACAGTCCCCTGCCCCCCAGTACACTTTACTATACAGCTCTTATTCTGGACTCTTGTCATGCCAATAATACCTAATCATATATTTCTTTTATACAGTTCTCTCCCTTGTCTGTTTCATGTACATTATTTATGCCCTTTTAAAAAATTCCCCCCAACCCCCATGTCAGTCCTGTTTTATAACATTGGCATTGCAGAGTTGCATCTGTTGCTTTGATAATTTCTGTGACTTTCCTGAGGAAAGGAAGGGAGAGCAGCTCCAAGGTCCTAACATAAGTTTTGCCTTTTTACTACGATGCCCTTTGTTATGCTTTATATTCATGAAGTTCAATTTATTGATATCTCATTGATTATTTGTTTGGAGTAACTGAATGTTGCTCATTAAGATAGAGTGACAGGATGAGGAAGAGATATGGGGTCAACAAAGATAATTTTGTTTTGCTCATGTGGAGATTGAATTACTTATGAGACAAATAGATGGAGAGATCCAGACAGATGTAGGATGGATAGGGAGGTCTCAAGCTTAAGAAAATCTAACCTAGCGGCAGAAGTTGCGAAGTTATCTGTGCTGTTAATGGCTACAATCATGGGAAAAGATGAGTCATAACAGTAAGAATGAAGGGTGCACTGAGCCTTGAAGAATAACTTTCAGAGGCTGGCTTGAAGAGGAAAGGTTGAGGGAGGGACCTAAAGATGAGTGCTAAATAATGTAGAAATAATCAGAGGAGAGAGCATTACTTTGTAATTCATTGAAGAGGCTCTTAAGGGAGTGATGGGGGCAACACTGAAAGCATGTGGCAAGATCAAATAGGATGAGAACCAAAGATCCCAGGGGATTTGATCATGAAGACCTTGATGGTTTTTCTTCATTGGCTCCTTCTTTCCCTAATTCCTAGCACTGCATTGGAGGAGGAGGGTTCTTCCCAGAGAGCAGTCCCAGGCAGTGTGGGGATTTCTCAGCCTTTGATTGGGATGGATATGGAACCCACAAAGGCTCCAGCTCCAGTCGACAGATAACTGAGGCATCTGTGCTGCTGTTCTACAGATGAGAGGTCTGTGCTATGGAAACTCAACCATCTCTCATTCCTAGATAAGGAGTTAAAAAAACCTGGAATGCTAACACGTAAGAACAAGACAATAAATTGCATCAGTGAATGATTCTGGCCTGCTTTGAATTATTTTTACTCTTGACTGAAATCCTGAGGGATATTTTACAAACTCTCTACTTCTCCACACATTGTTCTGCTAGGAGAGGAAGTCTGTGAAAGAAGGAAAACCCCTAAGGGAAGGGAGCAGTTGCAGGAACTCCAGCAGAAAATAATGTAGAAGATAAATACTGGACAAGAACTTGGTTTTTGGTTGTTGTTGTTGTTGTTGCTATTTGTTGCCATCGAGTCCGCTATGAGGGACTCTGTGAACAATGGATCTGAACCCTGATAGATTCTGGACCTTCCTTATCATCTCTGATATACTTGAGCCCATTGTTACAGTCACTGTGCCAATACATCTCATTTAAGATTTTCCCCTCCTTTGCTGATCCTCCACCTTTTCAAGAATGATATCCTTTTCCAAGGACTGACCCCTCCTAAAAACATGCTCAAAATATGTAAGACAAGTTTTACTATCCTTGCTTCTAAGGAGTACTCTGGTTGCACCTTTACTAATACGTATTTGTTTGTTCTTTTGACAGTCCATGGAATATTCAGTACTCAACTACAATACCATACCTCAAAGGCATTGATTTTTCTTCAGTCATCCTTATTCATTGGTTGTTACGTACCTGTGAGTCAACTCTGACTCATAGTGACCTTTGAAGCAATGGCTTTAAACCTTGCCCTATTATGAACCAACTTTACCATTTCTGGCCCACCTGACCCTATTGTCACAATCACTGTATCAATCCATCTCATCCAGGGTCTTCCTCTCTTGTGATGACTCTCTACCCTTTCAAGCTTGATGTCCTCCTCCAAGGACTGATGCCTCCTGACAACATGCTTAAAGTATATGAGATGGAGTTTAAAATCTTTGCCTCCAAGGAACAACCTGATTTCACTTTCTCAGATGGATGCTGGCTGTATGTAAAGAACACCAGTAGTATGTCTGTTTACGCTTTATTGACTATGCAAAGGCATTTGACTGTGTGGATCATAGTAGGTTATGGCTAACATTGAGAGAATGGGAATCCCAGAGCACTTAATTGTGCTCATGTTAAACCCATATCTAGACCAGGAGGCTATTGTGCAAACAGAGCAAAGGAACACTGTTGTTGTTATTAAGTGCTGTCGAGTCATAGGTGACCCATAGAGACCCGATGAACGAAAGTCCTCAACACTTGTGTGACTTTCATCCTTTCTCCAGGTTCATAGGGTTTCCGTAGGCAAGCTATTTATGGAAGTGGATGCCACTCCTGCTTCCAAGCTTGTTTCAACCAGGGAGCACCACCAAACACTGTCCACTGTGGGTAACTGTTATCACATTTGACACATCAGTATTGCAGTGTTCAGCTTCACAGCAACCACAAGTTACCTCTGTATGGCAAGTGGACACACCAGGGCTATACGGCTTAGAAGAATGTTGGACCAAAAACACTGAAAAACAGGCCTGAGGGCCGCAGATTAAAAGTCAGCCACCTTTGGCTTGGTAGCATCACTTTCTCTCCACTAGGCCAACTGATCTTTCTCTATGATGATGTTATTGTTAAGTGCCGTTGAGTCGTAGGTGACTCATAGCGACCCTATGAAGGAGAGTCCTCAATGCTTGGGTGTCTTTCATCCTTTCTCCAGGTTCGTAGGGTTTTTGGAGGCAAGTTATTACGTGGTTTAAAATGAAGAAGGGAGTGAGTCAGTGTTGTATTTTCTTTCCATACCTATTCAATCTATATGCTGAGTAAATTATTTGAGAAGCTGGACTCTCTAAAGAGGAATGTGGCATCATGACTGGAGGGAGACTCATCAATAACTTGCTTTGTGCAGATGGCACAGCCTTGCTTGTTGAAAGTGAGGAGAGCTTGAAACATTTGTTGTAGAAGATCAAAGAACACAGCCTTCAATATGGATTGCATCTCAGTGCCAAAAAAACCCATATTCTTACCACTGGACCTTTAGTCAGTATCATGAAAGATGGAGAAAACATTAAAAATGTCAACAACTTGATCTTGCTTGGATCCATAATTAATACCATTGATATCAGCAGTCAGGAAATCAGGAGACATATTGCATTGGGTAAGTCTGCAGTTAGGACGTCCCGAAATTATTTAGGAGTAACAATGTCAGTTTGAGGACTAAGGTATGTCTGATTCAGGCCATAGCTTTTCTGATCACTAGCTATATATCTGAGAGCTGGACAATGAAAAAGGATGACAGAAGAAGAATTGAAGTTTTTGAGCTGTGTTGTTGGGGTACTGAACTTCCAACGCTCTGCCAAAGAACAACAACAACAAAAATGTCTTAGAGAAGGTGCAGCCAGAGTGCTCTTTGCCTCACATACTTTGGGCATGTTGCTAGGAGGAGATGTTCCTTGGAGAGGGACATGATGCTCAGAAAGGTAGAATATCAGTGAAAGAGAGGAAGATCCTCAACCATGTGGATTAACAGTGACTGCTGTAATCGGCTCTAATGTGTCAGAAAGGGTGAAGATATCACAGGATAGGACTGAGTTCAGGTCTGTGTTTTATAGGATCACTATGAGACTTGACTCAATGACACCTAAGAACAACAAAAGGACTTGTTTGTTCTCTTGACAGTTCATGATATATTCAATATTCTGCTCAAGCACTACAATTGAAAGGCATGAATTCTTCTGTCATCCTTAGTCATTGTCCAGCTCTCAGATGCACAGCAAGCAATTGAAAAGACCATGGTTTGGATATTATTACTGGTTTTGGGTTCTTTTTGTTTTTAGGTACCTTTGAGTCTAGTACAACCTATAACAACTCTGTGAACAAGAGATCTGAACCCTCTTAGATCCTGAGATATCCTTACACTCCGACATGTGAGAACCCAGTGCTACAGTCATTGTGTCAATCTGTTTAGTTGAAAGTCTTCCTCTCTTTCACTGACCATCCTCCTATCTAAACATTATATCTCTATGTAAGGAATAGGCTCTCTTAGCAACATGCCCCAAGGATGTGAGATGATGCCTTACCACTTTTGCCTCCAAGGAACATCTTGGCTACACTTTCTACAAGATATATCTGCTTGGTTTTTTGGCATTCTTTAAGTTGTTCAGTACTTTTCTGCAACAACACAACTGAAATGCTTCCATTCTTCTGTCATACTTATTATTTATTTCACAGATGCACAGGAAGTGAAGAAAGAGATCATGGTCTGAATCAGGCATACCTTAGTCCTCAAACTGGCATCACCATTCCTTAATAATTTGGAGAGGTCTTTGACTGCGGACTTTCTCAGTCCAGTACATATTCTGGTTCCTGTCTGTTTATATTATGCATGCTGATTACTGATCCACAGTGAGGTTGTTGACAGTTTCAGTCTTTTCTCTATCATGATGTTGTCTATTGGTCCAGTGGTGAGAATTTTTTCCATGATTTTGAAATGCAATCCATATTGAGGACTGTATTCTTTGATCTTTCTCAGTAAGTGCTTCAATTCCTCCTCACTTTTAACAAGTAATATTGTTATTTGCATAGTGTACGTTATTGATGAGTCTTTTCCTGGTCTCAATGACACAATCTTCTTCACAGAATCCAATTTTGTTTTTGGTAAAGGAATGTTATTATTTTCACTATTGATTGGTTGGTAGATATCTTCAGTACTTCTACAGGCTAAAGCCAACTGGAAGGAAGTGAGAGGGAGGGCATAGAATTCCATTTTACCTATTTCTTAAGGTTCTACCTCTTGAGCAATGAAAACAGCAAGGAAAATGGCAAATCTTTAAAGATAAAGAAAATGTTTAGCACAGCTTATAGATTTTGTTCATAAAAAATCTTTTTGTTTGATCAAATGAAAAATTCATGGATAAAAGACAAATGACACATCATTATTCTTTCAGTTCTCTTATCATTGTGGGTCCCTATCAAGCCAGTCACACTTTAATGTGAAACATAATATGTTAGCATTACCAGTGGTCTTCTTTTAGGTCCAAATCCCAAAGTCAAGCCCATAGCTGTGAAATCTATTCCTGTTCCTAATGACCCTTTTAGATAGAATAAAATTGCTGCACATGTTAGGGAAATGCATCTCTAAAGGAGCCAACAATCGCATTTTTTCTCTTGTGTAGCATGAGATGGGTTCAAAACATGGGCATTTCAATTAATAGCCTTGAACTTAACCACTGTGTCAGTAGTTTGCTGGTGGTGTTAAACCAATTATGACTCACAGTGACTCTGTGTGAAACAGAACAGAACCTTGTCCTATTTTGCTACACTCTCACTAACTCTGGTAATTTCAGAGCCATTGCTACAGTCACTGTGTCAGTCTACCTTGTTGAAGTTCATCTTCTCTTTCTCTGATCCTCCATTTGTCCTGATAGGACATTTTGTCTCCCAAGGACATATTTTTCCTCAGGACAACATGTCTCAGTATGTGAGATGAAGTTTCAACAACCTTGCCTCTAAATGACACGCTGGTTGAACTTTCCATAAGATTGATTTGCTTGTTCTTTTGGTAGTTCATGGGATATTAAATAACAATCGACAACACAATAATCCAAAAGCATTCATTCTTTGGTCTTCCTTATTCATACCTCATTTTCAGATGTATGTGAAGCAATTAAAAATATCATGGGTTGGGTCAGTTGCACTTTAGTCTTTAAGTGAGCATCAGTGCTCTTGAGAACTTTGGAGAAGTCCTTGGCAGAATTCCTAAAATTTATAGAAATAGGAAATGCCAACCCCTAACCAGCAAAAATGCAAGCAATCACGGGCAGAGGACATGGACAGGCATTTCATCAAAGATCTTCAGGCAACTAATAGATGAAATAAATGCCATCATTAGCGATCAGTGAGATGCAAATCAAAATAGCAATGAGATATTATTTCACTCTAGCAGTAACAGCCAAATTCAATAATATAGAAAACCACAAATATGGG